CTTTAAAAATGACTCTTCAAGCATTCTGCTTGAAATTCATTCATGTACCACTGTTGGTTAATGATTAGTAAATGGCAAAGAAGAATAACAAACCTAATTTGGCTAAATAATACATGGGCATTGCACTCCAATACAGCTGCCTACGACCTCCAAACTCAGGAGATCACAAGCATCTCAGAGGGCAGATGGAACATGGAAGTGAAAGGTGCTACTGTACTTCCCTTGCCCTTCAAATAGCTGATTTTGGTTACCTAACCGTTTTGCCATAGAGTGTGAGAAGAGAAGGCTGAGGTGCTGCCAAGATGTCACATGTGTTCCCCTTCCACAGAAGGCTCACAAAACTCTGTCTCCCAGGTCTTGTGAACTTGGAGCTGCAGCCAGCACTGTTCTGTCCACACTGACCATAAGGTTTAGGGTCACTTTGTGTTCTGAGTCCCAGCTCTGACCTTGGAGTGAGTTTAAGGTGAGAGCTGGGACACCAAACTCCCCTATGGCCCTCTCCATCTGTCTGGCAGCCATAGGACTGTGCCCTTAAAGCTGCAAATGAAATGATATTTCAAAGTAATAACTGAGGACTCAGGCTCCCTAATATTTTACAGGATTATTATGCTGTAGAACTGGACTCTTAAAATAGATGTTTTGGTGCAGAAAAATTGATTTTATCTGCTTCTTATTAGTTACAGAACCTTGTTCAAGGTTATGTTGTTATATCTTAAAGATCCTGAGGCAATTCCTAACTGCATGAATGGTGTCTTGTCCAGCTTGCCTTGGGAATTTCAGGGTGTGGTTCTTAGATCTCACCTTCAGGGTTTGTCAAAGGAATGAGTACTTCTGGCTAGGATCCTCTGGAGGTACTGCACACAGAAAAATATTTGTTAGCCTTAGCTTAGCTTCATCGTATGCTGAGTGAAGGCCAAATCTTCACTTGAGACAATCTCAAGGGAAATTTAACTCCAATTCTTTCTTGTTTCCAGGGGGTTTAAGAGCCTTCTCTTGCAGTAGGAGAAGGTAGTGAATGGGGGGAATTGTCCCCATAGGAGGGGGAGCAATGGAAACAATGGTGTGAAGAGTGAGATAATTTTCCATCAGATAAACACTCAGAAGAGGTTCCATTGGATATCTCACAAAGGGGCTATAGCAATATTTATCTTCATAAATGTGGTCATTTCCTGTTCAAGCACTGTTATAAAATCAGAGTCAGAAGATATTAATGGGTGTCACTACCAGATACTTTCTGGAAACAGCTCATGCAGGTCACGCCGCACCTCAGCAGGACTCCAGTTTTAGGGGTTGGTGGGGAAGACGATGTGTCTCATTAAAGGACCTGGATTGGAAAGAACACGTTGCAACTAAACACATTGTTTCATTTCACATCAGTAGATCTACTGGGGAGGAGGATACGTAGCATTCTTCCTAACAAGTAGATCCCCTGATGGAGGGAGAGATGCTGGCCCATCCTTCCCAGTCTGATTCAGGATAAAGTCAGAAGGAGATGGTCAAAAGACAATAGACGGTGGCGGTGTGATGGAACTATCATTGTCTGTCGGGTGCTTTACTTTGCCTCACCATTTTTCTGTCAAACACATTAATATTTTGCAGTACTTCTAAAAAAATAACGACTTAAAAGAAAAACACTTAGCACATGTGCTTTAGATAGCAACTCTATGGTCCAATCCTATGCATTTTTATTCAGTAACTCCTATTGAGTTCCGTGGTACTTACTTCAAGGTAAATGTGAAGAACACCAGCCACCTATTAATATAATGTAACATAATGTCACTGTCGAATTTTCGTAGGGTGAGAGTGAAAAAAATCAGATATCTCATTAATTTGCTTGCAATTATTCTCTTAAAGTGTGATGAGGTGGGGGAAATCTTATATAGTACTTTGGAGTATGGAAGATGGATTTCATACATTCTCTTATAACATAATGGGAAGAGAATGAACAAATGTTCTAAAAGTAACAAGCACACTTGTATAGAACTACACATAAAAGAAAAGATGGAAATAATATCCAGGTGTGAAGTATCATGAGCCAGCCTGCATTTCCATCTACACTTTTGTATGGTGGTAGAAAAATCTTAGGCTTTTTTCATGCTTTTACTGACAGATCTTTATATTTCTTGAAAACACCATACAAAACAGGTTAAGCCAATGATTAATAATCCTTCATATATCAGGTGTTCTGTCTGTCGTTATGCTAAATAGTTCCTAGACTATTTTTCAGTCGGAGAAGATACTGCTTCAGTAAGCAATTTCAAGGCAGATAGTCAGATTTTCTGGTCTGATAACAGGGTGCTAATGGAATGAGAAGGAAAACGGAGCTGAAAGCAAATACTTTCTTCATCTCCCATAGCCTTGAATTACTGGATAGAGCAATCTGAAGTGTCTCAAATTTCTGCACATTACTCAACTAGATTCTTAAGCGGGTGCTACTTTTGACATCTTTCTTGCTTGCTTTCCTGAGGTTTATGCTTTTTTCTGCCCTCTGTGGTGTGCAAATACATGATCTAATCTTGAATTTTCATTCCTGGATATGCTTTTAGATGAGTTCAATGTGTTTTCTCTTTAGACCAGAGAGGAGGGAGGGTGGGGTTCTCCTAATGCAGAGCTGACAGGCGGGGAGAGCCATTGTGTTGGGGCTTGAATTGAAGTGAAGGAAAGGGCCCGATCTCTCTTCTGGTCCTTCTCCAGACTCAGCAACTGTAGTTGCCCTGATAATGTACAATTAGATTTAGACCTTATAGTGCTCTTGCTACTTGCTAGGTCTATACACAGTAAAAGACTTGGCTGAGGATGCAGATGTCCACTCTTTCAAGTTTTCAGTGAAGAACCTGCATGGGATTGATTGTAATGAGGGATGGAGGTGGGGAGAAGTGTCGCTGTGCTCTGTAAAATTGCCATTATCCTGGCTTCAGCTGGTGGAAGGAATGCCAAGCGCTCACGCCACTTGGATCTCAAGAGACTAAGTAGTCCTAGGACAGGGTGGCTAATCATTTTGGGTCCCCAAATGGCCATTCATAAAATGACTGTCATGCTCAGTCACAGCACACCTATTTCCCAGTCTTGCACACACCTGCACATTCCATGAAGGTTTACATAATGCTTCTAGACTCAACAAATAACTCTTATGCGGATAACCTAAACTGGCTGTCAGGTTCATCCTGGTGAAGTCATAGCACCAGACGCCCAACTACTACCAGGATTATACTTCACACCTTGTGTCATTTTCAGGAACATTTTAGCAGAATATGTGGACTACCATGGGGGTATCAAACAGGGCTTTTGCTTCATATTCTCTTGCTGTAGAAAGAGAAGGTGCTGTAACAGCTACTTTTCTTTCATGTTGCAGTGACCAGGCCCCTGATAATCTTCCCCTCACCCTGGTTTCTTGGGAGAAGGCATCTCGTGGGTCCCAATGTAATACTTACAGGGTAGCCACTCAAGCACTACCAAAAGAGAGGACATTGGAGGTCACCAGCACCACATTGGAGCATCCATTTACTGTACACCTGATTCTTCAGGTAGAGCACAAATTCATCTAGAACAGATCTAACTCCTTCTTCAAAAACTCTGGAATTTCTTTCTCGCCTCCTTTACGAGATGAGTCATCCACTCCATTTTCAAAACTGGGAGCCACAAGCAATGTAATTTAGATTCTGGTATAGAGATGCAATATTGCAGAACACTTACTGTGATCATACAGTTCATTCAGCTCTCTACAATGATCAGCCCTCATTATCTGTCCTTGCTTGCAACATGGCCCTTCTCGATCAAGCATGTACGGGCATGAATAAATAATGTTTATTACAGATTCTTTGACATGTTTGACAATTGACCTTTTCTTCTGGAAAGTCCTTTCCCTGAAGCGGCGAATGCGCTTGTGTCATCTGTCTTGTATGCAGCGTAATGATGCCGCCGCATCAGTTAGAGCACTTTTCTACATGAAGCATTTGTCCTGCAGTCTCGCTTCCTTACAGTTGTTGATAGCTTCCTTATGTTGCCGCAATCTCCCAGTTTCATTTCTTAGGGGTTTTTTGAGTGCGCTTTCCTAGGACTTTTTGAATTGTGAAAATGGGGTACTCTTTCTGAAAGTAAAAGGGAAGGTAGTTTTCTGCCTGTGCTGTTCCACCAAATCCCAGCACCCCAAAGCAAACTGATCGAACACTTATTTACTTGCTGAGTTAGTTGGAGGCGGCTGGTTCAGTTCAGTAGCAAGCAGAATCAAACCCCACAATCACTGAGAGTCTATTTAAGAGCAATTCTCACTGAGACCAATTCACCCCTCTTAGCCTGAACCCTCTTAGCCTGAGAGAATATGGCTTTCTTTCTCAAAAGGTAAGCACCCCTCTGACTGCTTGTATGTTGGATTTCAAGGTGCCACACTACCTCTGTCCATCCATGTTGGATAAATTTTACAGTGGCTTGTTAAGGTACAATAAGGGGAAGTAGTTAATCAATTGAATGAGAATGTGGATTTGGTGCTCATATTTCATTTATTGTCTTTTCACCCTGAAATATTTGTGTGAATGGGTTCTCAACTGAAACACAGTCTTTATCACCCTCCCTGCATTTCCCCCTGCATTTTCATTCACTACAGTCAAGACTGCAGAATAACAATGGATGCGTCCACTGATGGTATTATATTTCATCAGTTTTCCCTCTAGGGTTGAAGCATTGTGGAGCATGCTAAGCCCTTCCAGAACAGGCCTAAGGGTGGGAAAATGGGAGCTTCCAACGAGTTCTTCTTTATTAAAATAAACGGATAGCCATATGCGCAGACAGTTCACAATTCAGTAGGGAACAATCAATACAAAGTGTTTTCAAAAATACACTGAAGTTTATTGTACAAGAATCGTAATATGTATAAATACCATGAGAACAGCCAAACAACACCTTAAATATTTCAAATAGGAGCAGTATATTACAAATATTGGCAGTGAGTTTCTTTGTAAATTGGTTTAACCTTGAGCCTTCTGTCATTTTGTATTTTTGCACAGGAAATTAATTTTCTATATCCTTGGTGTACATCGAGAAAATAGAAAGTTGAAAAACTCCAAGGGATTTCCCCAAAAGCCTCCAAATAAATTTTAAAATTAAACAGATGTTACATGATCACCATTAAAACAAAGGTATGGGTTCCTATGTTATAAATGCTCTAAACCAAGAGATGAAGTGATTTTTTTTCAGTTACAATAGGTTTCCCAGATCAACCCTCCTGCCCAAGGATTTCACTAAATCCAGAGTTTTTGAGCCTCACAAAGATTTCTAACATTTAAATTAGTTAATGCTCTCCAAATAGTTAGACAATAGCCATTATAGGATATGATTTCTCACTGAACACTTCCTCTAGCAATGAGAACTGCAACAGTTCAAGCTTTTCTATCAGTTTCAGTTGCTGGGGTCTTCCACTTATTCCCTTCATTCATTCATGTTTGAGTTAGACCCCACATTATACAAGTTAAGGAAGCTAAGCATTTATGTTGCAATGACTACAACCTTTGTTTTACCTCTCCAATTCACTCAGTTACTACGACTATGTATAATACCATTTCAGCTGTTTGGTGACATTCATTGTAAATAGGTATGGTGCTACTGTAGTCAAGTCCATGTTTGGGCCAATATTTTCCTTGGCTCTGCTTTGTCTGAAAGCAGATATATTTGGACTCTCAAAAGGTACTTACAACTAGAATACACTACCAAAGACTTTTAGCCTACAAATTCACAAGTTGCTTTGAAGGATTCAGAAAGAAATGGGTATGCCTCAGCACTTGATTGTCCTGATACATAAACAAGAAGCTACTGTTAGAACAGAATATCAAGAAACAGATTGGGTTCCTATAGGCAAATGTGTCAGACAAGGGTGTATTTTAACTCCCATCTGTGCAATCTGTGTGCAAAACATATAATACAGAAACTTGGATTAGGATCAGAGGAAGGAGTGAAATTTGGCAGAAGATACACCAATAATTTAAGCTATGCAGATACCTTACTGGAAGAAAGTAGCAATGAATTGAAATGACTCCTAATGAACATGAAAGTACAAACGCAAGACTTCAGCTGAACATTATGAAAGCAATAGCCATGATTACAGAAGAATTGCATAAGATTAACAATGAAAAAATTGAAATTGTGAAAGATTTTGGATACCTTGGCTCAATCATTAATTCAAATGGAGACTGTAGCAAAGAAATAAGATTACCCTAGAAGCTGCCCTAGAAAGATTGGCACAGAACAAAGCTGCCACAGAAGTTCTCTTCCTCCTGTCCCAGGAGTATTCTAGGAAGGGGTGTTTGATGGGCCCTGCCTGCTTTCTAGAACTCATTGATCATTCTACGAATGGGGCTCCCATGATATTAACCATACAGCCTGTCCATAGAGCATATAATTTCTACCTTCTTCTCTGTTTCTTTTTCTATGAAAGATCCAGAGAAATGTGGGATGTCGGGATCCTTGAACAAGGGAATGGATTCAAGGAAAGAGAAGGGTCAGGGCAAGGATTCCTGATGCCTGGGTAATTTGAACAGTGAGTTTTCTGGGAAGGACTAGGTTTTCTGGGGAGGACTAGGTATGACCCATGACATGGAGTCAGGAGAGAAGGGCTAGTCAACTAGAGGGTCAATGAATAGCGATGAGGCTAGTCCGTATCCAAGGGGGCCTTCCCAGAAGGATGGGACCAAGACTTACTCAAAAGGAGGGTTCTTGCTGGATTGGGTTTAATGAACTGCTCTGTGCATGGGGACTCATTCTTTGTTGGTTGCTGGAAGTGCATTGTAGAATAAAGAGCTTTTTGCCAAAGAATAGTCTGTTGTTCTGTGAGTGCAAAGCAGGGAACCTAGCTTGTGACACCTACCTGGATTTAAGATCTTTGGGGACACCCTTTTCTTGGTCCTATTGCATGCTGGGTGAGAACCTTCTCTGTGGCCACTCTCAGGCTCTGGAACTCCCTGTTAAGGGAGGACAAATTGGCTCCCACTTTGTTGCCCTTCTTTTGGTATGCAATGGTGTCTCTAGTCAAGCTGGCCTTTGTCAAGTAAACTAGTTACTTGCAAGTAATATTCAGGGGATACCAAGTCTTAACCTGGAATGTCCTTATAGGTATCAGAGTTCTTTTTCATTAATCTATCCCCAAATATATCTAACTCCCCTTTAAATCCCCTGAAGCCCACTGGAAGGCCAACCACTTTCTCGCCCAGGCAGGGACTTAGGGATTGCATGAAGAGTAGGTATGGCCAGGCAGGGGCCCATCAGCTGGGGCTTCCTGAATCTGTTCACTTTCACCAGTGCAAACTGCCTGTTCACCTGCCCCCACACTAACCAAGGGACAAGAAAAAGAAGTGGTGCATGCCGCTACCTACTTGGTCACTGGATCTCTTCCTGTCAAGCGAGCGAGCGAACAATGCTCTGCGGAATGGCACAGGGATGTTCTTCATGAGCCCTGCTCTTGCGTATATCTCTATGTGCGAGGAATCCTTAATCATCACTTGAGTACTTCTGGATCTGGTAACTAGCTGGTGTTGTACCTTTAGGCACCAGTGCTTCCTGAGAGGGCTACTCAGCATCTGCTTCTAGGCAATTACTGTGCTTTGGTGACAATGGTGGGGACTCCCAGCATTCCCTCAAGGAAAACCTGTTGTAGTCTGCATTGCAACACTGGGTACAGCTGTAGAAATAATGCTTACATTTTCTTCAGCATGCAACATGATTTTTAAAAGCATTCACAGCCATGCATTTTCCTTTCTCAAATATATGCAAGATCGTGTCCATCACTTTTATAGTTGGGGGAAAGTGTGTCATAGTGTAAATAACATCAGTAGGTCAGAGTGGAGCTTCTGAGGGATGTGGCCTGGGAAGAAGAAGTGTAGCTCTGGAGTCTTTAGAGATCCAGATGGTGGGCCTGGAGGTACCTCTTTGTCCCAGCAGCTGGAGATGCTGCACTCTATTATTCTTACTGCTTCTCTCTATGATATTACTGAAGTGGTGGGATAGTGCTGACAGAAACTTCCACATTTTCTTTTCAGGCTCTTGTTCAGTTCCTTCCAGAAGACATTAGGAAACAAGATGACATTTTGGATCCATGTCTGGTTCTTTAAATCAGCTGACCTGAAATGCATTTCCTTCAGATGGTTACAGGATGCAGTTCCTGGTCAGAACACTGAGACACAATAAATGATCGGGGACTTTAACTGACTTTAATAAAGATGCTGGAATGTTAACACTGGTTTGCCCATTATTTCAGTGGTTTTAAATCTATCTGCCTATCTATCTATCTATCTATCTATCTATCTATCTATCTATCTAATGAGCATAAGCAGAAGCTGCAGAAACTCTGTCAGTTAATTAAATGGAAAATAAAAATAAAATGGATAAGGAAAACATTAGGAAAAAAGGATTCTATGTGCTTAGTAACCAATTTAAAGGGTTCCTTTATGGTGGTTTTCAGATTTTATATACACTTTGATGTGTGCTGTGCATTCCTTTAACCAAGTGGTCTTTTCAGGAAGATAAATCAGATACATTCTATACACATCTGATTTTATTAAAAGAACCTCACCAGAACCTATCTTTGTTCAAAAAGGATGTAAGTTTAACTTTTCCCCTTTTCTTAAAAAAAAAAAAAAAAATCACCTGATACCAATTAGAATTCCTTTACTCCTAAGCTGATTTATAGTACTGTAATACAGCACTGAAAATATGAAAGCAGAGAAGCAATATTTCAAATTCAGCATAAAATCAACAATAAAATGTATATTTATAACCTGAAAAGTATGATTTCATCTTGGAGAATTACCAAGCTAATAACAGTAATAAGCAAGATTTTTTGGTTGTACCATATTGTATCTATTAAACACTTCAAGGGGATTGAGAATAAATCAAATCACAAGATCATTTCTGGATATTCAAACATATTTTTAAATATTGTAAAAATGTGGATGACTATCACAACTGGTTATCATTTGTTAGTGTTTTTCAAACAGGTTTGAATCATGACCCTCATTGTTACATCTTCTAAAATGTTGGACGGATGCCTGTAGGCCTGAAAAGCAATTTCATTTAATAAATGAAGATTTACTGTCCCTAGAAGATAAAAGTTCAAGCACAAGTATGTAGAATAATATGGACTGTAATCACTACCCAGGAAATCTTGTTTGGTGCAGAAAAGATGGCTTACAGTCAAAATCCTATTTCTAGGTTCTGAAACTAAGCATGGAAACTCTTAATCAATATTGATTCTTTCAAGCTGGTCTCTTCCTTAGAACAGATCCAGAATTTTATTCCAATGGTGAGAACACCCCCAGCACAAGTTCCTCTGGGGCTACTGGGCTTGTGGCCCCTTTGACTGGTGGGGTAGGAAGCAAATCAACAGAGGTGGAAGCCAGGGGTCTCTGCAGGTGGGACTCACGTTGTGTAGAGGAGCTTTTAAAAATAGAAATGTTGGCTATCCATCCAGCACATTAAAAAGAGACATTTCACTGTGTAAATGTATTATAAGCCAATTTATGTTTTTTCCAGACTCACAAATGAGTTTTAAACCAGCCCATGAGCTCTCCAATCTGATAAAAGTATTATAAGACAGACTGTGACTTCTCCAGACTCACGCATGAACTAAATGGTGATTGGTGATGTCTCTGGAGTCACACAGAATTGGCCTGAGCTGAGCCAATTTGCTACCATTCTTTCTAAAATTTGTCCCAAGGCATGGGATTGTGCTCCACTGCCAGGCAGCCTCAAAAAGCCTTTCTTGTGCAGGGAAAGGGAAAGGCCATTTCTTGTGCATCAGAGCAATCCGACAGTGGAGAGGTGGTGGGTGCCTGGAGAGGTGCCTGGAGAGGTGCTGGGTTCTTCCACACTAGCAACCTTCAGAAAGAAACTGGACAGGCATCTGAGTGGGATGCTGTAAGCTGGTGCACTGCACCAGCAAGGGGTTTGGACCCAAACGCTTTCCTGGCTCCTTCCAACCTTCTTCTATTCTATTCTATTCTATTCTATTCTATTCTATTCTATTCTATTATGATGTTACAATTTTATGTTCAGTCTGCACGCATGCATCGTCCTGCAATGCAACAAAGAGACCAGCTGGCTACTGTTTAAAGAAGCCAGCAATGGTGCAATATTATTATTTCTTTTAAGGGGCAGGATTACAGTCGGGGTCGCAGGGAAGCACCCCTTGCCTCACCCCTTGTCTTACCGCCTCCCTTGCCCTTGGATTGCTCCTGCTGACAGCAGGGGGGAAGCTAAGTCACATGGTTTGCCCCTCCAACTGCACCACCTGCAGAAAGCCTTGGTGGGGAGATCAAGGAACTGCAGGGGGAGAGGTAGGGGCAAAAATGGCCTCCTCCTCCTCTATTCAGCTGTTCAGGCAGTTGAAAAACTCTGCTGTGTCTAAAGCCTGCTCCTGATGGAATGAGCACTTTGATCCACAGAGGCTTATGCTGGATCTAACCCAATGATCTGAAACCTAAGAGGGCAAAAGGAGAACTCTTTGAAGTAAACTAACCGAGAGCAAGATCACAGCAAGCACAGATGCAGATGAACCCGATGGAAAGCACACTGTGTTGCTTTGAAAGGCGTTTAAGCATCCAGATGTGTGGTTCCGATTGGTCAGTTGTCTCTCCTATTTATGTTTTGCCATTTTTTCTTTCTTCTGATGAACAAGTAACTGTTTGGCATGCCCAGTCTCTGAGTCACCATTCTGAGGGACAGTCGGCTGCCCTTCTTTGCCACATTACTAAAGTCTGGGCTTTAAAGGGCGGGGGGAAATACGGCTTTATTTTTAGGAATAACAGAACAGGTTTTTGCTCAAAGTTCCCAGAAATTGCTTTCCTAATTAGAAATGTGGAAAGTTGCCAGTGCAGCACAATCTTTTAAAAGGGGATTGTGGGGTGGGTGTAGCTAGAAGAGAGGGAGAGGGAGCCCAAGGAAATTTCAGGTCATTGAGTCTGACACCGTTTTGGGTTAATTGGTGTGGAAAGTGTTATTAAAGCTCAAATAATAAAGTATCTAAAAGAACAAATCTTGCCAAAGAAGAATCAGCTTGGATGCTGCCAAGGAAAGTTCTGCCTGTCCAAAATTTTGAAATTACGTGATAGTGTCAACATGCATATAATAGTCTTTGGGTCCTTTCCTAATGTGAAGGTATAGCTTTTCCGCAATCAGCTGGAAGTAGGATTGTTGCTGTGGCTCCTCACGCCACATAGCACAGTACTGCATCCCACCTCACAACCCCTCCGTGCCCCCCTGCAGGATAAAGAAAAAGGTAGGCAGTGCATTATTGTACCAGCCTTTGTTCGTTCATTAGTTCGTTCGTTCGTTCGTCCATCCATCCATCCATCCATCCCTTGTTTGCTTGTGCACTTAAATTTATTTATTTATTTATTTATTAAAACATTTTTATGCCGCCCCATTCGCCGAAGCCTCGGGGCGGCTTACAACATGGATAAAACAATAAGTTAAAATATTCATATAAAATAATCTTAATTAAAACACACATTATAAAATAAGCTGCCCTGGCCAGATAAAATTCAGTTGTATTTAGCATTTAAAATGTTGCTTAGATAAAAAGGTCTTAGCCTGGCGCTGAAAAACAAATAACGACGGCGCCAGGTGGACCGGAAGTGCAAAACAAAAATGATTTTTAAAAATTGGAAAAAAATAAAGGTGCAATACAGAAAAGTAGTGAGGAAAGGAATACATTGCTGGACATATTGATCCCATCTTTATGTAACTGAGGCAAATCATGGATTTGCCATAATGGGCCCTGGGCACATTCCACAAGCATCCAACCAAGTCAGTCAGAGGTTGTGACATGTCCAAACCCAAACAGTATAGGTTAATCTGGGGTTACATAACCAGTGAATCTAACTACTAATTGTAACTTAGCTCTGGGTTGTTTACTCAACAAGTTAGCTTTAGTGCCCAGGTTTGGATGTTGTGTTGGCCAACTAGAGGTTGATTTTTCAAAATTGCACCAGAATGCTTCAACAAATCATCTAATTGATCAGTTAACTGACAAGTTGGTGCTGCTATGGGCAAAATGAGTCATAGTCACCACAGTGCATGCAACCAATTAATGTTAAATTCTCACCAAACAAAAGGCTGGTGGTGGGCAAAGGAGAGACAGAAGGGTTGAAAATAATCTTTTGCTCCTTCTCTCAGCAAACAAATATGAAAAATATTAGCATAATTTTAACTTTACTTTTTTGTTGTTAAAAAAAAAAAATCTGCATGGGTGCAGAGCAGGTAACAGAAGCACTTAGGTAATCCATCAAAAGCTATGAAGAAAGTTACTACCATTCCAGACCATTCATCCATGTCAAGAGCACCTCGCTTCTAACTGCAATTGCTTTGGTGCTGCAGTTACACTGAAAATGTAACTAAACTATTGCTTTGCGCTTTAGTACATGAAAACTTTTAACCCATCACTCTATGGACGCTTTTGCTTCCAGTTTCTTTGTGCGATTAATAGCTCTTGCACACAAGACATTTTTGCATGCTCCAGAATCCTCACTCACAGTACTTTGTGGGTGTTTTACCCACGCAGGGCTTCTCCTGTGTTTTGCAGCCATTTCTGCTGCTTTTTTAAGATTAAGAAAAGTGTGGTATTATTTAGAAATGGTGCTATAGAAAACTAATGCATTTCACTATACCACAGTGTCACCTTGTGGTTTTATTAATAAAGCATGTAAAAAGGCAAATAAAGAAACCCATGGGGGAAAGATGTGGAAAGGAGTCAGTTTTGATCCTGCAAAGTCTCTGGAAGCAGAAGTCTCTGTAAAGTGGCAGGCTAATGTAAAGATGGGCTCCTTCACAGAAGTTTTTCCCAGGGTTATTCTATTTCCCCCGCTGTTCGTTCTACGACACAACTACTGTAGGTGGTGCTATGATACAGTGGAGTTGCAATGGGAGAGGAAGCAATGGGAGAGGCCCTGGGAGATGAGATCGTCAGGTAAAGCACTCGCAAACTACCATGAGTGAGGAATCACAAATGTATAATAAATGCTTTGTATAGAAAGGCTGTTTCTTAAAGCAACAAGAGAACAAGGAAAATACTGGAATGCAGTGGCTTGTTAGCTTCATTGCCTAGATTCTCCAGAACATGCAAGGGCGCAAATGACATCTTTTCCAGAGGCAATAACAAGTATGAATGGACCCATTAGATATACTAAGATTGCAAAAAGGCTTTGGACAACAGAGTCAGATCCTTTTTTTTTTTTTT